ACTGGCTTGTGAAGTTTCATGGCCATGGTGTGGGAGGGAACCTCAGCTCAATACTTGATTCCATTAACACTATCCTTGAGGTAGGGAGATAAAAGACTTATCGACTTCTATATAAGTATAGAATCCTAACCCTCCCAACACTACTTTCTCTCTTGTGTATAAAGCTCAAAATATTGTGGCTTTGCTTTCTGAAGTGCCCTGTCTTTATTCTCCTTTCTCACATTAGTCTAAATCTTCTCTTTCTATCATCTCTTTTGTCCCTTTCCTGCTTCCACTATAAGCAATTTCTTTTCAGTGTGGCACCTTGTCCTAAGTATAAGGCCCCCTTATACCCAGGTGGTACTAGAGACAACAAACCTCCTTTTAGAGCTGCTATTCTCCAATTGTCCCATTTCATTGTTTTCCTTGCTTCTTCCTTGCACAGACCACTAGGAGGCAGGGGGTTTGTTTCCACAACACAACCCATATTTTGGGACTTGTGGAGATATTTTTATCATCTTTGTATTTTTGTAAATTTGTTCCTGATGTTTAATATTTAGCCTTGTTTTGACATTTAGTTGCTCTACCTTTTTTTATGTGACAATTCAGACCAATTAAACAACTTTGCTGTCACTGTTGTCATATTCTCAGAATCCTATCCCTCTTTCCATTTTTCATCTCCTAATGTCCATTCTTCTCAGAACAACCAGTGTGGTGTTCTCTGCATTGTTCCTTAATGGTTGAAGTGGCATCACAAGTGTTCATAGTCTATCCAAACAGAAGAGAGAATTCTCGTATTGAGTCAATGACTAATTTAAGCCTTCCACCCTACAAGTTCAGTGATTATAATTACGGTAAAGGAAAAACTTCAGCTAGACTTTTGGGACAACAAGTATGTAAGAATGAGATGGGTTTTTCAAATTTAAACATTCTTTTTAAAAAAAGATTTTATTTATTTATTTGTCAGAGAGAGAAAGAGAGAGGGCATGAGCAGGTAGAGTGGCAGGCAGAGAGAGAAGCAGGCTCCCTACTGAGCAAGGAGCCTAATGCAGGACTAGGTCCCAGGACCCTGGGATCATGACCTGAGTCAAAAGCAGATGTTTAACCAAATGAGTCATCCAGGCATCCTGAATATAAAATTTTTATAATGAAATTGCCATTTCATAGTGACACATAATAAAAATAAATATGTATGCAGTAAAACATAAACACAAAAGTCTGGCCACATGATTGAGAACAAAAGATTGATTCCTTCTTACTGATGTTTTTGTGAAATTTTTTTTCAATCAGAGGCTTGGTGATTCCATAGTTTACAAGAAATAGAAACTAAAATAAGTCATGAAAATCATCTTTTAAAATGAAATAGCAATATGCTCATCAAGGAATTAATATAACCTCTGTAATTGAGAACCAAAGGATAATTCAAAATCCTTGATTAAAGGAAGCCTACACTTCTTTTAGAAATGCCCAATTTTGGGGTGCCTGGGTGGTTCACTCATTAAGTGACTGCCTTCAGCTCAAGTCATGATTCCAGTTCCTAGGATCGAGCCCTGCATTGGGCTCCCTGCTCAGCAAGAAGCTTGCTTCTCCCTCTTCCACACACACCCCCATTCCCTCTCTCGCTGTCTCTCTCTCAGTCAATAAATAAAATCTTTAAAAAAAAAAAGAAATGCCCAATTTTCTATTAGTGCTCAAGCTTAAAAGGAATTTATCGTATGAAATTTGCATAAGTAAATAATGAAAAATATACTGGAAAAGGCTACCAATATGATTTTATTATGAATAATAATAGTTGAATATGCCAAAAGTCCAAATAACTAAAGCTGCTTACTTCCAATAACTCTACAGTTTTTATTTTTATTTTTTATTTGTTTTTTCAATTTTAAAATTTAATTTAATTTAATTTTTTTTTTTTTGAGAGAGTGGCAAAGGGCAGAGGGAGAGGGAGAGAGAGAATCTTAAGCAGGCTCCACACCCAGTTCTGAGCCTCATGCAAGGCTCGATCTCATGATTCTGAGATCATGATCTGAGCTGAAATCAATAGTCAAACACTTAACTGAATGAGTCACCCAGGTGCCCTAATTAGTTTTTATTTTTAAAAACTTAAATCTCGGGGCACCTGAGTGGCTCAGTCATTAAGTTTCTGCCTTATGCTCAGGTCATGATCCCAGGGTCCTGGGATGGAGCACCACATCAAGCTCCCTGCTCAGCAAGAAACCTATTTCCCCCACTCCTACTCCCCCTGCTTGTGTTCCCTCTCTCACTGTCAAATAAATAAATAAATAAAATCTTTAAAAATAAACTTTAAATCTAATCACCTTTCTCATAACCTATAAAATCCTTTCACACAAATATGTAGAATCTTAAAACACAAATTGACTTATTTACCTGAATTTAGGTCCTTTTTTTAACCTATTTTTCACTTACTTTTGACATAAATGTCAAATAGTTGGCTAATGAAATCTTGAACACTTTTAATGTGATTTTTCTTATTATTTTTAGATCTCTAATAACATATTATCAGAATAAGTTAATGTTTATGTTAGAAAAGAAAAAGTCTCAAATCCACAATGTAAGTTTCCACCATATGAAAACAGTAAAAGAAGGGCAAAATAAACAGAAAGCTAGAAGCTAGAAGAAGAAAGAGAATGATAACAATAAGAGCAGGAGTCAATAAAATTAAAACCACAAACCAAAAGAGAAATTCAAACTAAAAGTTTTGGTTTTTTGGAATGATAAATAAAATTGATAAACTTCTAGCAAGATTGACAATTATAAAGGGAAGATGCAGTTTACCAACATCAGGAATAAAAGAGGATTTCTAACTACAGAGCCTGCAGGCATTAAGGGGTACAAATTTTCAGTTATCCAAGATGAGTGAGTTCTGGAGATCTAATGTACAGCAATGTGACTATAGCTAACAATACTGTACTGTGTACTTAAAATCTGATATGAGAGTAAATTTTAAGTGTTCTCACTGGAAGAAAGAAAGAGAGAAATAAAGAAGAAAAAAAAAGAGAAAAGAGAGGAAAGGAAAGGAAAGGAAAAAGAGAAGGGAAGGGAAGGGAAAGAAAGGAAAGGAAAGGAAAGGAAAGGAAAGGAAAGGAAAGGAAAGGAAAGGAGAGGAAAGGAAAAACAATAACTATGTGAGGTGACGGATATCTTAATTAACTTGATTGTGATGATTATTTTACAATGTATATGTATACTCAGAGCTGGGAGGGAAAAGATGAAATAACACCAATTCAACAAACTCTTCCAGAAAAAAAAAATGGAGGGAACGCTTCCCAGCTTATTTTATTTTTGTTTAATAATTATATTTCAATAATTATAATTTTATAATTACATAAAACTATATATAATTTTAATTTTAATAATGAAAATTATTTTTATTTTAAAAAATATTTTATTTATTTTTTTGAGAGAGAGAGAGGAAAAATAGAAGGAGAGAGAGAGGGAGGAGAAGACTTCCCACTGAGCAGGGAGCCCAACATGGGACTCAATCCTAGGACGCATAGGATCATGACCTGAGCTGAAGGCAGGTAGATGCTCAACCTACAGAGTCACCCAGGTGCCCCAGCTGTTTTTAAAAGGCCAATATCAAGGTCAAACAAAGACAGTACCAAAAGAGAAAACAGCAGTCCAATTTTCCTTACGAACAAAACACACAAGTTTTCATAAAATATAAGTAAATCATATCCATAAATACATAGAAAGATTACTACAACCAGATATGGTTTATACCACAAATGCAAGGCTGGCTCAATATATGAAAATAAATCAAAGTAATCTACAATTTTGACAGGCTAAAGAAGAAAAAGCAGTTCAATGGATGCGGAAAAAGCACTTGACCAAATCCAACATCCATTCATAATAACAATTCCAAGCAAACTAGACATAAAAGGAAACTTCCTCAATCTGATAAAAAATCACAAAAGTACTAAAGCTAATGGAACACTTAATAACTGGAGTCCTAATGTTTTCCCCCTAAAATTAAGACCCAGGCAAGAGTGTCCACTCTCCCTAAAACAATTTACACAGCACAGAGTCCTGGCCATTTAAATAATGCAAGAAAACAAAACAAAACAAAAGGCATATAGGTTGGAAAGGAAGAAAGAAATCTATCCTTATTTGCAGAGTATATGATTGTCTACACAGAAAATCCCAAGGAATCTACCCAAACATTCCTAAAAGTATTAAATGAGTTTAGCAAGATCACAGAATACAAGGTCAACACACAAATATCAATCATACTTCTATAAATTAGTAAAAAAAAAATTGAAAATTTTAAATGTAGTACTGTTTACAATTGTTCCAAAAATTAGAACAAATCTCACAAAATATATGCAAGATCTGTATGGCAAAAAACTCAAAATGCTGATTAAAATATCAATGACCTAAATAAATGGAGAGGCATGCCATGTTCATAGACTGGAAGACTCAATACAACTTAAGTTTTGAAGTAAGGTATGCCTTAACTTCATGATAACTATCCTCCATTTGAAAAGCAGATTCTGATTTACTGCTGGGTCCCCAAAGAGACTAAACTCCCTAACAAGGGATAGCAAGTGACTATGTGACCCAAAATATCTATCATGAACATGATAATGTATTTCACTGAATCAAAATATTGGATGTGTACCAGGCTCTTCCTTTGTTAAATGGAATGGTAGATGTAAGAGGTACAAGCAAACTGTATAAGCAAATGGTTCATATTCACATGGGTTATATTCCTACTGCCTCAACACATGACCCTCCATGCACCTTAGAGCCTCATGGGAAGTCCACTATATACATGTGACATTTCCAGAGGAGGAAAAAGCACCATCCTTGGTTTATAAATATGTCTGCAAGGTGTGGTAACATCATCTGGAAGTGAATGGTTGCTGCATTACAGCCCCATTCACTGGTGACCCTGAAAAACTCTGTTACAGGAAAATTCTCCCCACAGGCAGAGTTTTGAGAGGTATATTTTGTTGTCCAGTTTGTATGGAAGGAAACGTGCTGTTTTTAGTTTTGTTTTACATATGGAATGTTTCATGAATTTTTGTGTCATCCTTGCACAGGAGCAATGCTAATCTTCTTGTGTATTATTTCATTTTTAGTACATGTGCTGCCAAAGTGAGCACAGAAGGAGATACGTTGAATCATACTGATTCAGTGATGCCTGAGTAGCTCAGTCATTTGGACATCTGCCTTCAGCTCAGGTCATGATCCCAGGGTCCTGAAATCAAGTCCTGCGTTGGGCTCCGTGCTCAGTGGGAAACCTGCTTCTCCCTCTGTCTACCACTCCCACTGCTTGTGCTCTTTCTCTGACAAATAAATAAATAAACTATTTTTTTTTTAAGATTTTTAAAAATTTATTTGAGACAGAGAGAGAAAAGGAGAGGGAGAAGCAGGAGCCAGATGTGGGGCTCGATACCAGGACCTTGGGATCACGACCTGAGCCAAAGGCAGACGCTCAATCGACTGAGCCACCCAGGTGCCCCTCAATAAAATCTTTTTTAAAAAAAAGTCATACTAGGAGCACCGGGGTGGCTCAGTGGTTTAAGCCTCTGCCTTCGGCTGGGGTCATGATCTCAGGGTTCTGGGATATAGACCCGCATCGGGCTCTCTGCTCAGCGGGGAACCTGCTTCCCTCTCTCTGCCTGCCTGCCTCTCTGCCTACTTGTGATCTCTCTCTGTCAAATAAATAAATTCTTTAAAAAAAAAAAAAGTCATACTAAATCACAACCAATGGCTCAGTGAGTTGATTGGTATCTCGGAGTTAGGAAAAAATAATACAGGAAAATTAATAAGGAGCTCTGTTGGATACTATGTGGTTGCACTTCCAAGAATGGCAGAGAGTATAGGGGTATAAATGCACATTAGGGAATAAGAGATGAGAAAGTGGAAAGCAAATGAAGTTTGGGTATTTATACATTTGGCCTCTTATGCTGAGCCCTGAATTGGCCATTATACTGTTCCTCTTCATAAGGCCACAGGTCCCCTTGGTGTAGTATTTTCTTCCAGGTTATAGTTATACTTCCTGTCCCCATGGTAGTTCTTTTGGTGATAATGGCTCCCTACCATCACTAGTCAGATGACTGGACACACCAACCCTGCCCATGTTTTTTATTAGGTATACTTAAGTATCCCATTGTTTCTTAATTGACCACAGCAACCCTGATCATAAACTGCACGGGAGTGGAAATTTTTACTGCTAATTAACCTAGCATCTAGAATGAGGTCTGTCACCCCACACGTTTTCAATAAATGTTTGTTGAATGAATATGTGTTTCATCCACTTTCCCTCCTTTAAGACATTTCTAATTTCCTAAGCATCATTAATAATCAGTCTTCAAAAATGCATGGTATCTGGTGTTAAAATAGATGTGAAGAAACAGTGAAAGCTGGTTTAGCTTTTCTGAAGACTACTTGTTTGCATTTTTCAAATGTTTAACATGTACACATTTTAACTGGGCAATCTACCATTTAGGCATTTGTGCCAAAGAAATAATCACATATATATGCAAAAGATGTATGGACAATGATGTTTGCTATGTATTATTTATAATAGTGAAAATTGGAGACAAGCTGAACATCAGTCCCAAAGAGATTGATTAGATAGTTGATTAAATAAACATATATGCCCCTACAATGCAGAAAAGAACGATTTAATTCTACAAAACCTGACCAGATAACTGGATCAGGAGATAACTTTAAGTATAAAAACAAGTTGTAAATAAGCAGTAACCACATTTTTTGAAAAATGCATTGTTAGTTTTAGCATAAAGTCTAAAGTTAAGCATCAGTTAATACTGGTTTTATTTGGAAGATAAGATAGAGAGGAGGGAGCTAGCTTTTAGTATCCAATCATCACTGCTGTATTTTGGTCAAATTGAGCATGTATTTACATTTTTAAAAGAAACATTTAAATATATTTACATTTAAAAGATAAATAGATGTAACTCAAGTGTTTAAAAAATAATAGTCCTGTTCAGCACAGAGCATAAGGGCAATAAAATATCAAGTTACAAAGCATACTACAAAACAAATAAATGTACTTGGGTTGACCATTTCTTATACTGTCACATTTAGCTTTTGCATTTACAGGTTCAAGGATTTTTATCCAGAAAGCTGCATTTACTTATTTGTTATACGCAACTAATAAGTTATTGAATGCAACATCTAAAAAAAATGATGTACTTACTATATGTTGGCTAATTGAATTTAAATTTGAAGAATGTTTCTATCTTCATGAAAAAGATGTTAATTGAAAAAATATTTATTTATTTTAAAGATTTTGTTTATTTAAGAGAGAGAGCGAGCTGAGGGGAGCGCAGATGGAAAGAGACAAGCAGACTCCCTGCTGAGTTGCCCCCACCTCAATCCCAGAACCCTGAGAATCATGACCTGAGCCAAAGGCACAGGCTTAAACAACTGAGTCACCTAGGAGCCCCCAGAAAGCTGTGTTTAATTGAAAAATAAGGGTATTTGATTATTAATAAACCAATTACATCGTTTATGGAAAATAACTTTTTTTTTTAACCTTCCCAGAAAGAGCCACAGGACACAAATCATGGTCCATTTTTGTAAAGATAAAAAACTCAGTCTGATTAAAGGGGCGTATCCATGACCCTTGGGAACTATACAACATAGAATATTCCTTTTCCAACTGGAGTAAACCCAGACTCCTTCACATTGGCCTAGGACACGGGGGTGGGGGAAGAACGTCCCCAGACCCTACATTTTGAGGCAGGAGGACGCACCCAGACCCACGCCACCAAAGGCGCTGGGGAAGAGCTAGGTGGAAGGACTCCCCTGGACTCTGGAGAGCAAGGTGGAGGGATGTGCCAACACTCAGAACTGAGGTGGACACAGCAAAGTCAGGGAGCGAGGCTGCAAAGATGCGTCAAGAAGAGGCTGCATTGGTGCTGGGGAGAAGCTGAGAGAGCTTGTCACCACCTGCAGAGCTCTGCCCACTGTCCCATCTGCTGGCCCAGCAGCTTCAAGTCCACACTCTCATCACTGCACAAGGAGGAGGCTAAGAAAGGCGCTGGCCGGGCGGGGTCATAAGTGGTATTGGGTGGAGTGTGGACGAGTGTTTCCTAGGGAAAGTATAGCTTTACACTTGTGTTCATACAGATTTCAGTAACTTGTTGAAGACTCTATTCCTTTTTACCCCCTATGAGTAGGATCCAATTTTTAAAATCATTGTCATAAAAGAAACTATTGGTATTGTGAAATAATGGTAACCAGATACATGCTCAGTATATGTAATTCAGTAAAAAGATGTTCCTGTAATATTATGCTTATATCTCCCTAATTTGGTTAAAAAAAATCAACAAGATACTTATAAGATTTAAGCAGGATCATCTCTGGGAAATGTGTTTTACTTGATAACCATTTTCTTATGTTGCACATGTGTACTTTTATATTTTACATATTTTTGAAATTTACTTTTTTTTCTTCCATTCCTGGGATAAACTCTGTTGGTCACAGGTACTTTCCTTTACAGTGTCGTTGTGCTCTATATTCAAGTGTGTTATTAACATTTCACATCCTTATTCCCAAGAGATACTTGTATCTTGACTTCTCTGGGCAACTTGAAACAAACAACAACAACAAAACCTAAAAAAAAAAAAAAAAAAAAAAAGGCCCATTGATGGAGATAGAATCCCCCTTTTTTTGTAGTCCAAAAATTTGAAAAACATAGAAAATAGAAAATGGTAAAATAAACATCCATATATAGCCAGCCATGCCCTTGATTTAAGAAAACTTACTTAACCTTTTGTGATACTTGCTTGGTTTTTGCTGAAATTTCCTAAAGTAAATTAACAATGATAATTTCAGTGCTAAATGTGGCACTATCCATATCTTTATAAAATCAATAAATTTTCCAATATAATTCCACTTAACAACTGTAAAAATGTGCATTAATATTCCTAACTGCCAGTCCACATTCAAATTTCCCAAATCGTTCCCAATGTCCTTGGCAATAGTTGTTTTTCCCATTGGGGTTTGATGGAGGACCACACCTTGTATTTCTCAGTTAAGTTCAAATTTAACCACTAACACATAGTCCCTAACAATAGGGACTGAGAGAACTTGGGCAGGAGAGACTATGGAGGACATCTTCCAACCATCTAATAAGGAAGAAACTGCAAAGTAACATCAAGGTGTGGAGGCATATGGAAAATGTGATCTTGAATCTGGCTGGCTCATCCTGCAAGATGGTTCTGCCTATGAACTTCTGAGAGGAGTGAGCTTGTGACCCAGAGTGCAGGAGCGGGAAGTCTTAGGGACCCCCCCAGTTTCCCAGGTGCAGGTAGGGCAAAGGCCATGTCAGGAGAAGGTGCTCAATGCAGGCCAGAAAGTGCAAGGAGCTTGTGTCTGGATCCACCTGCAGCACAACCTGAGAAAAGCCCCTGTTGGTGGCAGGAAGGGAAAGTGAATTTTTTAAAATTATTTTTATTAACATATAATGTATTATTTTCCCCAGGGTACAGGTCTTTGAATCATCAGGCTTGCACATTTCACAGCACTCACCACAGCACATACCCTCCCCAATGTCCATCACCCAGCCACCCTATCCCTACCCTCCCACCCTCCAGCAATCCTCAGTTTGTTTTGTGAGATTAAGAGTCTCTTATGGTTTGTCTCCCTCCAGATCCTATCTTGTTTCATTTTTTCCTTTCCTATCCCCCAAGCCCCCCACCATGCCTCTCAAATGCCTCATATCAGAGAGATCATATGATAATTGTCTCTCTCTGATCGACTTATTTCGCTCAGCATAATATCCTCTAGTTCCATCCACGTCATTGCAAATGGCATGATTTCATTTCTTTTGATGGCTGCATAGTATTCCATTGTACATATACCACATCTTCTTTATCCATTCATCTGTTGATGGACATCTAGGTTCTTTCCATAGTTTAGCTGTTGGGACATTGCTGTTATAAACATTGGCGTGCACATGCCCCTTCAGATCACTACATTTGTATCTTTAGGGTAAATGCCCACTAGTGTGATTGCTGAGTTGTAGGGTAGGGAAAGTGCATTTATATTATAGACTGTGAGCATGCCAGAAAGCAGTAGTGGTGGGTCTGTGGTGGAACCCAATTTCTGGATCCAGAAAGACCCAGTA